CCACCATGAAAATCGTTGAATTAGAAATTGATGTTACTGAAAAAGAAACCATTAATATAAAACAGAACACATATAACAATTTGATTGCCACTGTCGAATAATACAGTTTTGTCCAGGGAATGTTCGGATGTCCCTTGGTATTAGGAATACTGATGATTTTTCATCTGATCTCTGTATCAAAGTAATCATGAACCTAACGTATCCCAGATGCCTTCCTTTTACTATGCTCATTGTTTTACATATTGTGTAACCTTTGGATTCAATGTCGTCAATAAGATTTATTAAAGCACGCATTTTCTCAATTACAGAGGGTCGAGTAAAACTACACTGGCACGAGATTTGAACAGCAATGTCTGCATTAGGCGACTGAACTTTAAAATACATTTTGACATGTTGACCGGGCTGTCGTAATAAATACGTTTTACACTCACATTTGATAGCAATATTATTGTCACCGAAAATCTATAGAGAGAAATGGGGTTTAACGTCCACTTGACCCAAAGTATTATGAACATGTTTGCTTCAATTTTATTTTAATTTGCTGGTGCTTATGCGTCTATAGCAGTAGAATGAAACCGCGTCTATAGCAGTAGAATGAAACCGGAGGACCCGTGGCAATCACGAGGATTGGACAGGCGACCCTGCTCCTTGTGTCTTACAAATGGGAAATTGAAACGGCAACGCTTGACTTATTCACCAAAAATAACGTGACGATTTTGGCAGATTTATTACATGTCTATCAGTTGACAATCCAGTGCCATTGTTGTTGTTTGCGAAAATCGTTGAACAGATGCTGTTAGTGAAAAGATTACGATTAATATAACACAGAAGACAGGCAGAGAGCCGGAATGGTGGATTTGTACCGTCCTTATGTGTTCCTGTCGTATTCTAGTTTCTGTATAGTTTCAGTTCCTGTATATTGTTGTTGTATGTATGTCAATAAACCCTATATGTACAGAACTGATCACTGTTATCACTAAAATAGTGGTACGGAAGCCCAGACCCTAAGATCTACGACAGAAGAGTCATGCCGATTTATTTTTGCATAAAGCGGGAGAGCCTTTGTGGTCCGATGTTCACGAAATTTGAATGGTGTAACGCAGATAAACTTAAACGGTTTTTGAGAGAATTCCCAAGCTAAAAAGGCGATTTGTTGCACAATCAGGGTCCATAATCCATGACGTTATCTGGGATCGTTGGATATAAACATATAATATTTTAATCTTAACCAAAATCGGATAATAATTTTGGCCTATAGAGTGCCCACAATGCAATGTAAACGGACTAAATCGAATAAATCCGAGATCTTTGGCATGTAAAGATATAATTTAAGTTTCTTCAAAATCGGATAAACATTGTAACCTGGGAAGTGTCCACAAACAATTTTGAATGGACGTGCAGCACCACGCCGGAAAAACCCTTAGAACTTTTTCGGACAACATCTGGATCGATCATGGAAAAACAGGTTAGCGATTTAGTGCCGTACACACTGAGCCATCGATGGTCCCTTATATGGCTGCCATTGTCAAATAATAGGCTATTTAAGATTTAGAACAAAAACACACTAAAAACCAGAAAGTAATCTTAACCTGTTTGTGGAGACATTACACTTTTCTCCTGATGCCATACACACACTTGAGACCACTCCCTACGCGGTAAACCTGGTTGCTGCTGAAGAACCAAACCGCGTACTGCATTGTTTGTTACACTCAGTTTAAAAAGTCTGTTATGTAATAAAATATATATTTATATTGAAGATTACAAACCTCCATTTAATCAATTACAACGTTTGAAAACTGTAATTCTTAAATTGGCAGACAATCAAAATAAGGTGTGTTTACTGTGGTACTAAGGACGCATGTTGCGGCCATTTAATCAGGTCGTCTTCTCACAGTAATAAGTTAATAATAAGTCGAGGGGCGAGAAGTCGAGACGACAACGATTTTCAAACAGAAAGTAAGAAGTCGAGGATGAAGGAGTGAGAAGTTATGATTACACGTTTCCTTGGTTAATGTTCACAATGGACATAGTACAAGAATTACCGGAGCGTAAACTATTGGAATCTTCAGTTTCAAAATTAATATGCAGCAATTAGCTTATTAAAAGCCGATTATGACGCCACATATTTGTAGTAAAAATAAATGTGATACGAATTGAATTGTAACTCCGTCTCAAACCGAACAGGCTAACTGTACCACAGCCATTGAAAACGTTACTTGATAATCGAGATATGTAGGTGGAGTTAACACCTTTCAATCAAACGATCGGCCTTCTCGGAGACGCCGAAGAGAGAGTTGAATCCTATTTCTATTCAAAAATTACAATGGTGATAACTTTGTTCAGAATAAAGTAATTTGACTGAAATTTTCAATATTCTTCTTTCATCATCTATTTTTGAACTGTTATAGCAAAAATGGCCAACTCTCTATTAAAATCTCCCATAATGTATCTTTAATAATGAGTAATTTCTCCACCAATCCAGAGACATTCAACAGTTCGTCGTGGCATGCTCCTAATCAACCGTTCAATCACGATTTGGGACAATCCTCTTGTAGTGCCACGGTCAATTCTTGCAGTGTTGACGTCGACGAACACGTCTCCCGATCCAAATAAACGTAACACACTAAAGCAAAGATACGCTAAACAGTAAATCTTATGCAAGAACCGATAGGAAAGCAAACATAAACCAGCAAGCGGCAGTTTTCATCATCCCTTCCTTGAAGTGTCAAATTTGACAATGAACCCCTGCCACGTGTTTGGGGCTATTGCGTGTCGCACATGCAGCTCAGTGGTTCTGTTGGGGGCGATAAGTTCTTCATCTGTGAACATATTCTCAAAGAATGTCAAGTGTCCATGACTATTTATCATATCACAACCTGCATAGGTATTTGCATTTCAATATCCCCTACTTTTTTAAAGAGTATATATACAACAACACAATGTGATTCTCTATCATAAACTATCAAGAAAATGTACCTCCATGCTGTATTTCTTAAGGTACATCCATTTGAATGTCCATTAAAATAGATAGCTTTTGTCTTTGTGAGACCGACATATTTGTTTGGAATTTTGGGGTACATTCAGACACAAACTAGGTCATTTCGGGACTAACATGGTCAATTTTATTTCAATAATTCGCTTGTGCTTAGGGTCTATAGCAACGGGGGGAAACCAGAGGACCCATGATATCATGACAAACCCACGAGGTTGAACCGGCGACTCTACTCATTAAATTGGCAATGAAAATCACACCACGTGACGATTTTTGTAGATTTTGTTTGGTTGACCAGAAATGTCTGGGATCACTTGCCAAATGTAGTTGGGGAGTAACAGCGCTCTTTTTTCTACATATAATAATGTTCTAGGGTCTACAAGCATTGATTATTCTAAAGTCTTTTATTAATCTTTGCATTACAGGTGAGTGGGGTAAAAAGCTACACAATACAAAATAGCTAAGCCTGACTAATACATGTATATCTAAACTCGACAAAAGAATAAATTGCTTAACTTCTACAGCCTTATCGTAATTGAGAGAGATAAAGATATAGGGTTTAACGCCCGTTGGACACAAACTAGGTCATTTTGGGACTAACATATGGTTCAATTTTATATCAATAATAGATTGCGCGTAGTGGTCTTTAGCAGTGGGAGGAAACCGGAGGACCCGGATAAACAGTCGACCCTACTCCTTGTACAAACGGGGAATCGAAACCATAGACCTTATAATACAATGCGCTAACCGTTCAGCCCCCAAACCCATCTTAATCCAAACCAGTTGACTCAATGACATGCTTTATGATACAGCGGGCAAGTGTTTACCATTCCGCCACCCCCCCACCCCCTGCATTGTACAGAGGTAAGCTTGTCCAAAGGCATTAAAAATGATAAATAGCAGATGGACTGCCTTAGTATTATTGTTTCATGTTAAAATTTCCAAATTCTCCTGAATTTTTAGGTAGGCAAAATAAGTTGGCACTTTAGAGAGGCCAGAATACTAATTAGCCATCAGACGAGTATTACTGACAACACTTGTTATTTATCATGAGGTTGTATGCCTACCTTGGTGTAGATTTAAGTGAATATTCTGAAGCTCGTAATCTCAGGAGTGTTTTTTATTTCCGGTACTAATTTCAAATAATTAATCTGACAGGATATTTGTAAATAATTGTGATATTTATATGGTGCAATAAAACTTGTCTTTGACGAGCTTAGATATGATATACTATTCAAAAAAAGTAGGGGATATTTGATTTTTAAGTGTTATTAAAGTCACCTAATGAAACTGACGAAGAAACAAATGACAAAATGAAATGAAGTTCACATTCATCGATTTATTCCAAATGATCGTTAGACTAAGTAAGGCACAGACTGACCATTATAAGGGTAAAATGATACCCGGGGTCAAACAGCAAAGTTACCACAGCATCACAACCAAGTCAGTAACGGGTAAATCCTCCTCTGTTTGCCAAACAACCATTGATCCGACGTGGCATACTCCTAATGAGACGTCTAAGGTCATTTTGGTCCAGATTGTCCCATTCCTGTTGCAACGCAGCAGCAAGTTCTTGGACATTGGCAGGACGTTGTTGACGTTGACGTAACCTCTGTCCAAACATGTCCCAGACATGCTCGATGGGGGAGAGGTCGGGACTCAGTGCTGGCCAAGGTAATGTGGTGATGTTCTGTTGTTGGAGGTAACCTGTAACGATCCTGGCCCTGTGACATCTTGCGTTGTCATCCTGGAAGATGAAACGGCGGCCATGACGTCGTGCGAACGGCACAACATGGACTGCCAAGATGTTGTCCCGGTAGTACTGGCCTGTAACACGCCCTGCAACAACATGTAAAGCCGTTCTTCCAGCAACAGTGATGCCTCCCCACACCATAACAGAATCACCCCCAAATCGATCATGTCTGATGACGTTAACGTCTTGGAAGCGCTCGTTTCGACGACGCCATACCCTTCTACGTCTGTCCAAAAAATCAACAGTGAACCTTGACTCATCTGAAAACATCACATTGCTCCAGCGTCGATTATCCCAGTGTTGACGATCCCTACACCAACGACGTCTTGCCTGAATGTGATGATCTCTCAAACAAGGGATCACGCGAGGACGTCGGGCGCGAAGGTGACCCTATGCAGTCGATTCCGAATCGTCTGGCCACTCACTCTCACACCAGTGTCTGTTTGAAGACGAGCGCTGATCTGATTTGCTGTGATGACACGATTTCTCAAGGCCAAGGTACGGATATATCGATCCTGGGCTTGAGTTGTCGCCCTTGGTCGACCTGAGCGTGGTCTGTCCTGTACAGATTGTGTATCACGGTATCTGGACCATAGCCTGCTTATGACAGACTGAGAAACATTCATCGTCCGCGCACAACCGCCTGTGTTGTGCCGATCTGTAGCATGCCAAGGGCACGTAACCTTTCATTTTGGGTAAGCCGACGCATATCAAAATTTGTTTTCTGGTCACTAAAACAATTAAACTGATGTTTCCACCCTGGAATTCAATGCCACAATGACTGTAACATTCAAAGTCAGAGTCGTGCAAATCTTGGGTTGGACCCCCATGGTGATCCCAAGCATCACCTGCATTCCATGCGGTAGCTATTGGTGCGTTTGGGCGTCACATGTAACTGAAAATGTTTCTTCTGTTAGGTTCTATAGTGACTTTTTTCGTAGTCATTTGCATATTTTAGTATTATGCCCCCAAAATCAAATATCCCCTACTTTTTGAATAGTATATTATGCCTAAACCAATCATTCAGTAATAATGTCAACTCTTACACTGGACACAGCTTCACGGGTTTATATGTATTTATATCAAGTCTATAATGTTTTCAGTTTTCACATAGATAAATTACCATATTCAAGATATAGTGATGTTTTAGAAAATGATTAACGACCAGAATGGGTTTCACAAATATAGCAGTGAGCATGAAAAGAATTATGTAAAAAGTTATGTAATTATGATATCGAGTAATTGAGTAATTGTGAAAGCAAGTGTTAAATACGGGTATGTCACAACGCACTATATTAAAGGAGCTACATCACTATTCCTTGGCACCTAGAAATGGACACAAATGGGTCGCAACGCATAAAATAATGTAATATGAATGTATATAAACTGATTTACATTCAATCGTTTCTGTTTTACTGTTATGTTCGGCGATATACGCGAATTGAATGGCAGTCTTTGCCTCTGGTTATTCCGGTACTATTCTCCTATATGGAATTTGTTAAGCCTCGTTCACCCAGTCGCTTCATATGACTGGAAAGCATTCTGGGACGATTCGTGTGCCAATTTTGTCTTAAATATTGGATATCAGACGCCAACTTTTTACGGTAAGATACAACATCAAAGTTGATAGTCGTGTTTGCAATATCGAAGATTGTGGGTGATATTCGGTTAATGACTTGGTTCCTCAATTGACACGTATGCAATTGATTCATATTGATTTCGGACAGTTGTGTTGTCCATGATTTCATCATATATAACAGAATCGTCCAGTGTTTCGTTTGGATTTTTGTCAATCGTCTTCTTTTGTTTGTTCTTCACGCATTTTCTAATAAGGACTGCTTTGATAGCCAACATGAGGAGGATACCAGCTACAATCCCAACCACCATGAAAATCGTTGAATTAGAAATTGATGTTCCTGAAACAAAACATTAAAATAAAACAGAACACATGGGTATAACAATTTGATTACCACTGTCGAATAACACAGTTTTGTCCAGGGAATGTTCGGATGTCCCTTGGTATTGGGAATACTGATGAGTTTTCATCTGATCTCTGTATCAAAGTAATCATGCATCTTAATTCACGATGCCTTCCTTTTACTATGTTTTACATATTGTGTAACCTTTGGATTCAATGTTGTCAATAAGATTTATTAAAGCAAGCATTTTCTCAATTACAGAGGGTCGAGTAAAACTACATTGCCACGAGATCTAAACAGCAATGTCTGCATTAGACGACTGAACTTTATGAAGTCGCACTTAGCATTTAAAGACATTGTGACATGTTGAACAGGCTGTCATAATAAATACGTTTAACACTCCCATTTGTTAGCAATATTATTAATTGTCACCTGTCACCGAAAATGGGTTAAAAGTCCATTCGACACAAAGTAAGTCATTTGGGGAGTAACATGGTTCAATTTATTTCAATAATTTGCGGGTGCTTATGCGTCTATAGCAGTGGAAGGAAACCGGAGGACCCGTGGCAAACACGACGTTTGGACAGACAACCCTGCTCCTTGTGTCTTACAAACGGGAAATTGAAACGGCAACGCTTGTCTTAGTCACCAAAAATAAGGTGACGATTTTGACAGATTTATTACATGTGTACCTGTGGAAAATATTGACAATCCAGTGCCATTGTTGTTGTTTGGGAAAATCGTTGAAGTAGAATATGCTGTTACTGAAAAAAATATCATTAACATAAAACGGAAGACATGGGTATAACATTTTGATTGTCACTCGCACTAAGCATTTTAAAAGAAATTTTGAACAAGCTGCCGTAATAAATACGTTTTACACTTCCATTTGATAGCAATATAATTGTCACGGAAAATAGATATAGAGAAATGGGGTTTAACGTCCACTCGACACAAACTAGGTCATCTAGGGACTAACATGGATGACTTACCATGTGTGCACAAACAAATGAAAGGGAATAAGCTATGCCAAAGTCGAACTAATCCGAGATCTTTGCGATGTAAAGATATATTTAAAGTTTCATCAAAATCGGATAAACATTGTAACCTGGGAAGTGTCCACAAACAATTTGAACGGACGGCAGCACCACGCCGGACAAAAACCCTTGGAACTTTTTCAGACAACATCTGGATCCATCATGGGAAAACAGGTTAGCGATTCAGTGCCGTACACATGGAGCCATATGCGGTTGTTTTAAATATGGCTGACATTGTCAAATTTATGATTTTAGAACAAAAACACACTAAAAACGATAAAGCAATCTTAACCTGTTTGTGGAGACATTACGCTTTTCTCCTGATGCCATACACACACTTGAAACCACTTCTCACGCGGTAAACCTGGTTGCTGCTCAAGAACCAAACCACGAACTGCATTGTTTGTTACACTCAGTTTATAAAGTCTGTTATGTAAAAATCAAGCCAACAGTGAGGCTGATGTCCCCCGCCAAAATCCCCAAATAAAAAGATGACACATAATAATTAATCGCACATTTATTTTTTTTTCAAAAGTATTGAGCAATCAAACTATACAATAAGTTTCATCACTCTCTATCACATAGAATCAAGATTATCTTGTCCTAAAGCATCGACCAATGAAATTGATTAGCTCTGCTTAGCTTCAATGTTAATCATTGAACTCTGTCAAGACATTCACCTAATAAACATCTACATCAAGTTTAAACATTCTACCTCAATTAAAAGCAGATTTGTTATGTTTCAAAGTCTTGACCAATCAAATTATTTATCGCCCCCTAGCCTAAGCAGATAATTCTCACCATCGAACTTAGACAAGGTGATGATATAATGAATCTATATTCGGAGTTCACTTCATTATAACCAAAGGTATCATGCCCCAAAGCATCAATCAATCAAATTGTTTATCTTTGCTTACCCTAAGCAGAAAATTCTCACTTTGAACTCCATCAAGGCATTCACCTAATGAACACCTACGCCAAGTTTGAACATTCTAGCTCAAAAAGAAGGAGATTTATTGTGTTCCAAAGTCTCGGCCAATCAAATTGCTTATCGTTCTGCTTACCCTGAGCAGAAAATGCTCATTATCGAACTTATTCATGGTATAGATGTAATGAAACTATACACCAAGTTTCATCTTTCTCACTTCATCAAGGCCTTGACCTAATAAACACCTGCACCAAGTTTGAATATTCTAGCTCAATTAGAAAGCGAGTTATTGTGTCCCAAAAGTATGACGGACATACAGACGGACGAACCCATTTTAATAGTCCCCTGCTTTCTTCGAAAGGCGGGGGACAAAATTACATTTATATTAAAGATTACAAACCTCCACTTAATCAAGTATAACGTTTGAAAACTGTAATTCTTAAATTGGCAGGCAACCAAAATAAGGTGGAAGCATGTTGCGACCATTGAATCAGGTCGTCTTCTCACAGTAATAAGTTAAAAGCAAGGAGTCGGAATCGACAAGTTCAGAGGCGAGAAGTCGAGACGACAATGATTTTCATACAGAAGGGAAGAAGTCGAGGATGAAGGGGCGAGAAGTTATGATTACAAAAAAGGCCGCAACACGTTTCCATAGTTAATATTCACAATGGATATTATACAAGAATTACCGGAGCGTAAAATAATAATTTCTAAATTAATATGCATATTCAGCAATTGATTTATTAAAAGCTGATTAGGACGACTCGCATAGACGTATTACCAATTTAAACATGTGTTCAAGAACACAAGCATGGGTGTTTGCAGTTCCATGAATTAACCATTTTTATTAGACAGCCACTATGTAGAGAGTAGCTTGGTCATCTATGCGACTACGTGTTGGACAAGAAGAAACAGATACAAGAAATACATATATGGATTGTATTCTACAAACGACATTCACAATAATTATATGACTATAATAACTACTAACCGATTGGGACTTGAACAGAGGATATATATAATTCCCCCAGCTGTTATGACACCTTCACTTATAGAACCCACACAACCGAAGTCCACAAGTTTCGATGATGCAATAGCTATATTCGGTAGCGATTCAGTCTTCACGCCATCCAGATTTGCGAGATACAAACCAGACTTCATGGACTGACACACCATTCCTTGATCTGTTAAATTAAAAAAAAACCTGACTAAATACAAGCAGGAAAGGAGAGTGGAGTATGTATGGAAATCAAAATGTACGTTCTATATAGACATTAACAACGATGCTGACAAGGACAGTGTCTAGTCTTTCGGAAGGTACGAAAACCCGGAGTACCGTGTATACAGTGGCGTACACGTAAAAGAACCCTTGGCAGTTGGAATTCTAAATATCAATAGGTCATGGTATTGGTATCAAGTCATGATCTTCTAAACTATAACAATGTTGCTTACATTTGCAAATCAGCATGTGGGATAAGATAAATGCCTCCTAGGTAGAAACGGACATTAGGGAATGAATATGAACTGAAATGTGGTTTAACGTGCTACTGTTCTATCTGATTGGGCTAATGATGACGGGCATACACCATACAGTGTTTCCCGGGCAGCGGCACTATGGCCTAGTCTTATATCGAATTACAACTGCGAAGGGGTCGTTTACGTGTACGTCAATGTATACACGGGACCTCGTTTGTTCGTCCCATCCGAACGACTGGACAACTATCCTTGTCAGGTCGTCCGTCCTGCACCACTAACAAACAAGGGTAAACCACGTCGGAAAATCTGGATGAACTTTCTCGGCCAATGCAAGAATCGAACACACGACCTCCAGGCTAGTGAGCCAGCGTCTTACCCACTTAGCCACCGTGGCTCCGAAAGACAGGAAACCAGCCATTACGTGTAAAAAAGGTTTTTTTTATAGCTTATTCCCTCAATATTGTATACAGTATCACCTCCAAATACTCATTACTTACTTAAAATAATAAAATTGTTACATTTTAATCCCAAAGTGATACTTTAGGAAACCACCCATTGCGTAATATACAGTATTTGCTCCAAATACTCATTACTTACTTAAAATAATAAAATGGTGACATCTTAATCCCAAAGTAATAGGTTTCGAGGTGCCAGGTTGTGATCTATAAAGATTAGTCCAAGTGGACCAATAAACTCTGAAAATACAGATTAAAAATATCAGGAACATACATAAACAGGTATCACTATAAGACCTTCATGTATATAAATACACTTACCCATACATACATACATACATACATACATACATACACTCTTTGATTTTACTTTTGTAGACAACTGTAATAATTACACCAAGATATTACCTTTTATTGGTCCCCTTGCCATGGAATCCAAAATCATACACCACATCTTTGGTCTCGGGCGTAGTAGAAAAAATCGTTTTGCTATAATTTTGTGTGTAAGAAAGGAATCCAATTCCTTCCCCTGTATTATAGTATAAGTTTCCAGTTTCTTGGTAAACGCCAATGGCGAAAGTAATGACATCGCCTAACATGAAAGATACAGTATGCAAAGATTATTTACTACAGTATACTATACATATGCTATCTTAGTGACACTCATCATGAAAACCCATTGAAAAGCAGGAAAGAATAATTGATAACTTGTCAGGACAATTTATGAAACTAAAATACCTAATGGTAATAATTGTAACGTTTTTCTTTGTTTTTTTAAATTCGTCGTCCATAGCCAATCTAATAATATAGTTAGTCTTAAAACGAACAAAAAAATAACCAGTGACTCCACGCAGACCCCCACGATCCGGGGTAGGGGTGGATGGCCGAATGGTTAGCGCGTACGCATTGCATCACAAGCTCTGACATCTGGTGTTGTTTCGATTCCCCGGTTGTAAGTGACAGTCCAACCCCGTGGGTTTTCTCCGGTTTCCTTCCACGGCTAAAGATTCTACGCACAAGCGAATTATTGAGTTAATCCCGAAATGACCTTGTTTGTGTCGAGTGTACGTTAAACCCATTTCTCTCTCTCTCTCTCTCTCTCTCTCTCTCTCTCTCTCTGTCTTCATATTTTGCACAAATATCTAGGTTTCCGTTCAAGTTTGGTTTCTGTTTTAGAAAAATAATAGTTGAAAGTTAATTTGTTTGTCACTATTCGTGTAGTTAGTAAATTTAGAACATTTAATAATATACTATTCAAAAAAAGTAGGGGATATTTGATTTTTAAGTGTTATTAAAGTCACCTAATGAAACTGACGAAGAAACAAATGACAAAATGAAATGAAGTTCACATTCATCGATTTATTCCAAATGATCGTTAGACTAAGTAAGACACAGACTGACCATTATAAGGGTAAAATGATACCCGGGGTCAAACAGCAAAGTTACCACAGCATCACAACCAAGTCAGTAACGGGTAAATCCTCCTCTGTTTGCAAAACAAGCATTGATCCGACGTGGCATACTCCTAATGAGACGGCTAAGGTCATTTTGGTCCAGATTGTCCCATTCCTGTTGCAACGCAGCAGCAAGTTCTTGGACCTTGGCAGGACGTTGTTGACGTTGACGTAACCTCTGTCCAAGCATGTCCCAGACATGCTCGATGGGGGAGAGAGGTCGGGACTCAGTGCTGGCCAAGGTAATGTGGTGATGTTCTGTTGTTGGAGGTAACCTGTAACGATCCTGGCCCTGTGACATCTTGCGTTGTCATCCTGGAAGATGAAACGGCGGCCATGACGTCGTGCGAACGGCACAACATGGACTGCCAAGATGTTGTCCCGGTAGTACTGGCCTGTAACACGACATGCAACAACATGTAAAGCCGTTCTTCCAGCAACAGTGATGCCTCCCCACACCATAACAGAACCACCCCCAAATCGATCATGTCTGATGACGTTAACGTCTTGGAAGCGCTCGTTTCGACGACGCCACACCCTCCTACGTCTGTCCAAAAAATCAACAGTGAACCTTGACTCATCTGAAAACATCACATTGCTCCAGCGTCGATTATCCCAGTGTTGACGATCCCTACACAAACGACGTCTTGCCTGAATGTGATGATCTCTCAAACAAGGGATCACGCGAGGACGTCGGGCGCCAAGGTGACCCCTATGCAGTCGATTCCGAATCGTCTGGCCACTCACTCTCACACCAGTGTCTGTTTGAAGACGAGCGCTGATCTGATTTGCTGTGATGACACGATTTCTCAAGGCCAAGGTACGGATAAATCGATCCTGGGCTTGAGTTGTCGCCCTTGGTCGACCTGAGCGTGGTCTGTCCTGTACATATTGTGTATCACGGTATCTGGACCATAGCCTGCTTATGAGAGACTGAGAAACATTCATCGTCCGCGCCACAACCGCCTGTGTTGTGCCGATCTGTAGCATGCCAAGGGCACGTAACCTTTCATTTTGGGTAAGCCGACGCATATCAAAATTTGTTTTCTGGTCACTAAAACAATTAAACTGATGTTTCCACCCTGGAATTCAATGCCACAATGACTGTAACATTCAAAGTCAGAGTCGTGCAAATCTTGGGTTGGACCCCCATGATGATCCCAAGCATCACCTGCATTCCATGCGGTAGCTATTGGTGCGTTTGGGCGTCACATGTAACTGGAAATGTTTCTTCTGTTAGGTTCTATAGTGACTTTTTTCGTAGTCATTTGCATATTTTAGTATTATGCCCCCAAAATCAAATATCCCCTACTTTTTTTGAATAGTATACTATATATACTGTTGAGGTTATTTAAGTTCTCTAAATGATGCTCTCTTCAATGCATTGAAGTCGTTAGCTAGTACAAGTGACAACGAGAACCGAGCTAATGAGATATACCTTGGAGATTAAAATATGATGTCTCCGGTCTAAGTAGGAAAGAAGTTCGGAAATGGAGATTTTGCGCGGTCGACACAAAACTGCATAAGAATTGTTTTTCTTCAGGTGAGGTCGTAATTACACCTTTCGAAAGTTTATAGGGAGGTTTGTACAAGAATGTAATGCTCCTGTATATGTATTTGTGTTTATTTTAATAGAATTAGGTTAAGGTATGAACCACTCTACTAGCCTAGTTTAGTAAAGACAAGTAAAACGAAATTTTGAACTATTAAAACGAAACGAACCAGTATCAGTGTTTTAATCAGATTTAGACACTGGTCATTTACATGAGGGAATGTATTCTATTTCTAAAGTACAGCTCAGAAGAACCAGACAGCGGAATCCGGTATACAAGCAGATACGGTTCTAGAGAGGAATTGGAAGAAGCGTTCACGGATCACCATTTCACTCGCAAACAGATACACTGTCAAACGTGAAAATGGATGTTTTTGATTTTTGTCTTAATAATGAGTAATTTTCCACCAATCCTCAGACATTCAGAAATTTGTCGTGGTATGCTCCTAATCAACCGTCCAATCACGATTTGGGGCAATCTGACCAAATGTGTCCACAAACCAAACGTGAACGGGCGCACAGACGGACGGACGGACGGGGGGGGGGGCACGGACGGATGGGCGGTCAGGGGCGATGTACGTCCACGTGAAAATGTGGGCGTATAAAAATTCGTTACAAACTGAAGCCTCTGTCATGTTAACACGGTTTTCAGAAAAGTGGGCTAACTCCGCAATGGAAGGTGACACACCACTGAATGTCGACTGGGTTTGTTGTCACAAACTTTCGGTTTTAAATATAATCACCTTATTTGTCAAGAGTCTTGCATAGTGGTTTGAACCTTACGCATATAGAGGAAATAAACAAATGATCTAATTTTGACATGTTTATCAATTACGACATGCTTAGTACCAGATTAATTGTCATGATCGAATATTTTACGCCGGCGATCGATTCGCTGGCATATCCGCTTGTCTGCCCGTGTCCAGCGTATATTGTCGAGTGAACCATTTTCATACGACAATCGGAGACATCATTGATATCACATGATCCCAAAATGGCTGCATCCAGTGCCGAAGCGTTGAGTCTGACGAAAGAAGGGGAATTGGTGATTCTTTGGTCAGAAATTCCTTTGTCTGTTTGAGGTTACGATTCCATAGTTTTAGAAGCATATAACCAAATGAATAGCAGCTACCACAGCAATTGACGTAATTTACTCGCAGAGTGACGTATGCTCTCGGCACGATCGCTACGTGTACTCGCTCAAGATCGGCCGTAAAAAATCGCTGGCGAATTTCAATCACCGCGGTCAGGGCACTCATCTATTCGTAGCTTTAATATACGTGAAATAAGCATGCTCTTGTAAGATACCATGTTTCCAAAACGGATTTAAAAAATTGTGACCCGTTGAAGTGAAAACGGACGGACAAGACGACGACATAATACACTCACATTGTATTTGGGCTTATTATAATTTAATATAAATAAAATATTACATCTACCTTTATCGAATATGATTTTCATATCTCCACCGTATTTATTCATGCGACCAATCTGCGAGGTTTCTTCTCCATCGGAAAATATTGTATAGTAGATTAATTGTCTGTCATAATCGCATGCCATGGTTTCAACTATAAATATAGACCAGTCGAGAATTTAAACTTGCTACCACTAAGTCTGCTAGAATGGTCAGTTTCCTATTAACATCACCATTTATTTAGTTAAATATAACTAATAATATTGAATATCAGAATTTTGTATGCTGTATATTATTCAGTATGCTATTTATTTGCTTTGTATATAATTTCGTATGCTGTATATAATTCATTTTAAAATTAAATTCGAGAACGTTAAATAACATAATACTCGCCCACGGATCAATAGTATAATGTCCACGCTATTTAATAAAACGACTATAATCCATGCTTTTAGGTCATCGAGATTAGTTTTCAATAGTTTCCTTAGCCCTTGAACCCTTTAGTGTAATTTGAGATCCATATCATAATCAGAAAGAATTTTTCTTTTCTTTGTTTAAATAAAGAAATAAAATGAACTGGGGTTTAACGTCCTACTCCGAACTTGACTAATAAAGACGGATTTTTCAAATAAAACGAGAGAGATGGAAAGAGAGGGGAAGAGAAATGGGGTTTAACCTGCACTCGACACAAACTGGGCAATTTCGGGACTAACATATGATTCGATTTTTATTTCAATAATTTGCACGTGTGTATACGGGGTCTTTAGCAGTGGGAGGAAACTGGGGGACCCGGAGAAAACTCACGAGGTTGGACAAGCGACTCTACTCCTTGTCACGTTCAACCGGGGAATCGAAACCACGCAAGTTGACTCAATGACGGACCTTATGATATAACGCTCACGCGCTAACCATTCGGTTCCCCACCACCAGTTGGCTAATGAAGACGGGCATACGGTATACAGTGTGCTATCGAATTCCAAAAACCAAGGGATCTTTTATGTGTACGCCAATGTATACATGGGACCTTGTTTTTTCGTCCCATCCCAACGACAAGACAAATGTCCTTGTCGGGCCCTCCGTCCTGCACCACTGACAAGGGGAAAACATGTCTGAAAATCAAGATGAAGGGATCGAACACCCGACCTTCAAGCTAGCAAGGCAACGTCCCACCCACTAAGCCGGCTCCAAGGGACAGAACAATTATCATTATTAAATTATTGAAATATACCTTTCTCTGCAATTTTCTTCGTCTTATTGTTGTTCGTGTTGTGACTATAGATGTTCTTGTCCTGAGTTAACAAAAGTAGTTCTTCCCCTGGAATGCAATGTTAAGCTGTCCGTGTAACCCTTTGCGCCACCTAGCGTAGGTATTTGCGCATGCCAATGTGAATAGGTAGTGCAAGGTGTATGTCGGTAGTTGGGTAGTGGCGTACAGGTGCCATAAGAGTGTCGGAAACGCCACACCGTTTATTAAAATGCTCAATATATTGCCATGTTGTCATGTTCAATGAATGGCGAGCTTTGGCTCTACACTATTATATATATATATATAGTATATATTCATAGGGTATAAGGGATAAATATGTTCTATTCGTAATTGCCTCCGGTAGTCAATAAACACAAATATTGGCTGAGGCTCTGCCCATGGGGGTGGGGAATGCACCCCCAAAAAAGAAAATACGGATCTTTCTTATATAATTATGGTATAAGTAAAATACATGCAAAGTTTCAAGACGACCATTACATGACCCAGCGATGTAGAGAGACGATAGCATAATTCCTCGTCTCATAGTTTTCTTATTGAAGATGCTACTTAAATCTTTGCTAGCTCCTGGATTTTAGCTGAGAATTGATGAAGTGAATATGACCCTTTGTTCTGACTCAGGTATTCAAGTTATTGATCAACCTATAATGTGTTGTTTTAGCACGTGTACAGGTGATCATAATTTGAGGAATTAACATACTAACCCGGTGATTTATTGTGAAACAGTCCATGGATAACAATACGTGCACTGTATTATAAATAACAAGAAACACAATGTTTTAATTAAAAAAGATAAAACAAACATGTAGTTAACAATAAATAGATATTTTTTTAGAGGGTTTATAGTTGGTGAAATAGTAACATTAGCTAGAAAACTCATCGAATAATATAACTACTATAAGGAACAAATACACAACTAACGAACTGGGAAAAATTTTAATCTTTCCTTTTGGATGACGGATCGTTAATGTAAAACGTATTCCAGTTAATTATAATGCAGCATACCCCGTTTCCACCAAATAAATATAACATTGTCCATTGGGCCTGTTGTTGATTTTTGAAGATAGGTTGGTATGCAACGAAACATACGTCAAAGGCAGCTAAGTCGTCCGAGCAGCCAACAAGGGGTGTCGCATATTTTGTTTACGAGTAACAACCCATATTAAGTAATTGTATAAAAAAAAGTGTCGAAAACCTGAAATCAGAAAATAAAAGTGTCGAAAACCTGAAATCAGCAAATAGAAGTGAAATGCGGTTAAACCCCCTATTGTTCTGCTCCGACTGGGCTAATGAGGGAAATTTTGCCCGGGCAGTGGCACTATGGTCTACTCTTATATCGAATTCCAACTGCCAAAGGATCGTTTACGTGCACGCCAAAGTATATACGGGACCTCGATTTTTCGTCTCATCCGAATAACTAGGGAAAGGGAAACCCGATGAACTTACTTGGCCAGGGAACGATCACGCGACCTCCATGCTAGCGATCTAGCGTCTATACCACTTAGCCAACGTGGTTCCCCAATGGATAGAGAACATAAATACATCATTTTATGATTTTTATAATTAATGATTAGAATCTGACTACATTTAATTTCCATTTTTAATTAATGTTATATGAGACCTGTCTCAAGACCTATACTTTTACTGGTATAATTAATGCCATGTTCAGAAATAATTTGATTTTATTTCGAAATATTCCTTTAAATCTTTTAGAATTCAATGCTGGTACATTTCAATCAATATAATGGTGTTATTTTACTGTGAAACTAGGAGACCCCTTAGATTTGATTATGGTCTTTTCATTTTAAAGGAGCTAAATCGCTAAATTGACCCAAATTGGTCGAAACCGCATATAATAATGTAATCTGATTGTATATAAACTGATTTACATTAAATTGTTTCCTTTTTGACTCTTAATTTCAAATCAGTTATGTCCAGCGAAATACAGCATGTGTCTCAACCCTATAGCAATTTCTAGCGTCTGGTTATCCCAGTCTATTAAGCAGGCTCTCCTTTTGAATATGTCTAGCCTAGTTCTTTCTGGTCACTTGTTGCAAATGACGCTAAAACGCACTATGTTACACGATTCGTGTTCCAATGGTAAAATGTTTATTTTGTCTTAAATATTGGATATCAGAAACCTGCCTTTTCCTGGTAAGATCACAACATCAATGTTGATTTGAATTGACAAATAATTCGTATATTTTCAACGTGTAAGATTTTGGATGATATTGAGTTAGAGACCTAGCTACTTTAATACATGTCCAATTAATAATTTATATAACATTTCAGGCCCAAAGAAAGACCAGCAATAAGCAGATTTAGCTCTTGCATAATGTTTATTTAATTCTTGTCCCAATTCTTACTGTAATCTTTAATAAAATATTCGATCTAGGTATCTTTCCAGTTCAATGGAGTACAGTGGTGGTATATAAGAAAGGACCAAGGAACTGTGTTGAGAACTATAGGGGCATATCACTATGGCCACTAGTCCGTAAACTATTCACAAACGTCCTAAATAAAAGACTGACCTCAGTAAAATCAGGCAGGTTTCCAAAAGAAATATAGAACCATTGACAACATATTTAGTCTACAGGGGCTTGTGAGCAAAGATTTGTCAAAAGAGGCGGTCGCTTATACCGTCTGGTTATTGACTTCCGTTGAACATTTGTTTGCGTCAGGCACGAGTATCTGAGGTCTTGTCGAATAAACTGTGGTATCCATGGTAAATTTCTGAATATATTAAGGAATATATATCATAACTGCACATCGTGTATTAAAGCGGAACATGGTGTGCATGAAACCGTTGTGGTTTTAGCATAGGTACTCGACAAGGGTGTATTTTAAAGCATGTAATGATCTCACTGTTCATCGATCAGTTTGTATCAGAATTAGAAAACCTAGGCTGAAGATTATATAAACGATTTCTCACTTTTGCGTGCAGATAATATAAGTAACATTGCTGATACAGCAGGTAATCTACAAAAACAACTATATAGTGTTGAACTATTTTGTAGTAAATTTGCCCTCCGTCCTACATTACTGACAAGGGGGGAACCACGCCGGAAATTCCCGATGAAATTCCAACGCAGCGATTCATTTCATTTCGTGTTTAAACAATAGGAACGGATATAAATAATGTCGTATTTAATTAGCTATTAAACATCCTAACGCGTCATCACTTAACTAAAACAAAGCCATTTATGACTGTTTGTTAGAATGGAAGTAACGATTATAAACAAATCTACAAAAAAATTATTCATGGGATGTCGTATCAAGTGTTCTAAATTGAATACGCACACGGACAAACTGTGCACTACACGCTTATTACTTCTCGTTTTATCAAACGTTTCAGAACAAATAATATATTGTTTCTGCCTTTAAATCCTTGTACGGAGAAAATCATTCATATGCCCATGTCAGTATTGTCACGGTGACACAAAGAGCAATAGTTCTCTGATTGGCTGCGAAAATTGAGCGAGGTCCGGTATATAAGTTGTCGTGCAGGCAGGTAATAGAACCCTCGACTGATGGAATTGTAGAACGCCGAGATCAATAGAATCACAGACTTGACATTTTAGAAAACAGTAAGTGTAATAATCGGTGAAAATAATACAAGCATAGTCACTGGACAATTGTAAAACATCGGTTGTAGATTACAGGAACATTAGAGAAAAAGATACTTGAAGGAATCAGACATCTTCCCAAACATCAGCTAAGCGAAACACTGCATAGCGACATAGCAACCCACACAGTAGTGGTTCAATCTGAAGTAATGATTAGCGTTTCACAATGTGCGAATTAATTATTAGCGTACTGATTATGTGTTAAATTATACCACATTAATAAAAAAATTTCGGCCGTCCGTCGGACCGTCACACCTTTTGGTACACAATAACGCTCCTGCTGACTTAGAATTTGACCTTGTAGACCCTGTGACCTTGAAATGAACTTTCGTACAAAATTAAGCCCAATATTATGTTTTCTACACAATGTCAAACTACTGGAGATATATTAATATATATTTCTTATAAGCATATAAAATCAAGTTAAATATTCACACTTAAGGGGCTGAAAATCAGTGTCTTTGCGCTTAAAGCAGGATTATTTTCATGGATTAGCTCTGATGATACATAGTGACCTGCTGCAGACTTTCCTAAATATAGATAAATATGATTCAAACATCAAGTCATCCCCTTTCTCATTTCACCAATTTTGATCTTTTGGTTACTGGGTTATTGGCATTTGAATAATGAAATGGGGTTTAACGTCCTACTGTTCTGCTCCTATACTGGGCTAATGAAGACGGACATACGCCATACAGTGTGCTATGAGGGAAATTTTGCCCGGGCAGCGGCACTATCGTCTACTCTTATATCGAATTCCAACTGCCAAGGGATCTTTTACGTGCATTCCAATATATACACGGGACCTCGGTTTTTCGTCTCATCCGAAGGAGCAGACAACTATCTGTATCAGGCCCTCCGTTGTATAATGGCGGATACGTCCATTTTGGCCGAAATCCCCCAAATTGGAACGACCGTATCTCAGACACTAGTAGTCGAATCAAGCTAAAATTTAAAATATAAGCCTTTTCAGCCCTAATAAACATATAAGCCAAAATCGAAGGCAGTGCGGTTTAACGGTTTGGGTGATAATTGACATGGAATGACCCAAACCATTGACTTTGAAAATATCGAAAAAATATTGAGATGGCATGGAACAAGAATAGTTTTAACATATGTTGCTGATATTACTACAAACTATAATTCCACCAAGTTTAAGATTTTTAGGTGCTCATCTACTGGGATCAATCGGCTCGAAAGTACGTGGCAATTTTCGAAAATCTGTGTCTGAAACCATATTCGAGGCTAATCTTCTAGGAATCTAGTGCAGACTGATGCGTGTTCATACGTTTCTTATTTAGTACTACTGGACATCCTTAGATGGGCCAAAGTTTTGGCCTCTATCGTTTACTTTGTAGTTCCTGAAGTACTACAATATCCGGAAAATATACAATTACACCATTTTTTACGGTTTTCATGGCCATGTAGCATGGGAACACTACCACTCACCTTCAATCTAATTTGCAGATTCGTAATCTACACAAAACGTTCTTTAAGACTGTCGCATATCTTTTAGTTTTACATGTACAATAGCATATATTTTTTCCAGATATTTTCTAGGGGGTCGATTTCCCAACTTTCTGAAAATTAACCCACATGACATGGAAT